AGGAAATTTATATGGGTTGCAAAAAGAAGATAAAAAATAAAGTCTATGCTATATTGACTAGAGAACATGTTATAGCAACACTAAAAATGAGAATGCATAGGATAATCAAAACTGTCTGAATAGAAAGATATATTGATGCTGGAATACAATTTCAATAACAGTTGCAATACAAAATACTTTTGTGACACAGAATAATGTATTCTAAATTATATTTTAGGAATCATTTTCTCAACCATAGGCCCATAACACAGAAATTTCAAATTATCAACTATGGTAATTTCATGCAATAGAAATCAGGAAAGCACATGTCAGATAACACATTCACTGATAGTTGATACTTCAAGTAAAGTACGGAGTAGCTTACATCAGTTGAAAGTGGATCAACAAGTTCAACACCAGCAATATCCAGTGAATGACAGGAAGCTAAAAGTCCCCCACAGCCTGCATGGGCCATAGAAGGCCCACATGCAAATCCACGCCTCCATTGTTCCTGCAGAGCAAGCCAACCAAAGGGTCCATCGTTACAATCTGCATCCAGAGACACATCAACAAATGATGTGGCTTGCTGCACAAGTAATGCCATGCCATCAAGAAGCTCTTGAAGTGGTTGCCTCAGCCCATATGAAAGCATATTTTCTTCAACATATGAATTATGTGGTCCAGATTGACAGGCTTCTATACCAGATGACATCAGCTTTGAGCCTTTAGGAGCAGATCGCAAAACACCAACTGGTGAATTAAATGAGCCATCTAATAATCTTACATCAATATCACCAGCTATCCTAGCTGGTATAGATTCTTTCTTCTTCACCTCATATTTGCTTGACATATTGTCAATTGTGACAATAGAATCAGCAGGTGGCTGGCTCAAAATGGTACTTGCAGAAAACCTGCTACCAACAGGAGGATTGTTGGATGATAGCAGTGTATGTCGTATCTTACACATAAATGCCTGGCACATTAAGCATTCAACTTCTGTTGCGAGGAGAGTTTTAATTGATGGGACAACATTCTCAGCTTTAAATGAGCCATCATCTGTTTTACCAGATTTGCTCTGGACAGATTTAACAGTATTTGTAGAATCTAAACCAGAAAATGCAGATACTGCTGCTTGAGCCTCCTGAGTAGCACAGTTCTCAGAGTTAGGTAACTTTTTATCATTTCTATCCTTTCTGCAGTCAACATGAGTATAATATTTCTTTGATTGAAGAGTAGAAGCTGCATCATGCTTTCCTGCAGACGTCTTAAAATTTGCAGCCATGCCAGAATTCTCATCAGACCCACCAAACAAAGGAGAAGAAGGCGGATTTGCAGAATATACATAGCTATTCGTGCTTGAATTTGCAGTCTCTACTTTTCGGGATTTTGGGATATATGGGCTTGCAAAGACTGAGTGAGAGATCTCACTGGCATGGGCTTCAACTGCTCCGTATTCTGGAGCAAATGTCATCATAGCTTCAGCCTTTATCAAATGATCATACTCCCCAGTAGAAGATGCAGGAGTGCTGTTAACTTGGTATGAAGATTCAGTGCCTTTTATAACTTCTTGAGGTTTGCTCACAGAGTCATCTATAGTTGCCAAAGAAGGAGGTTGATTAAAACTATCAAATGATTGAAAACCTACAGGTGCAAGCATCTGCTCTGGCAAATCCATTACTGATGTACAGGGACTGTTACCAATATCACCGCAATCTGCCCCTGTAAACACAAGAGCCTGGGACTCTGCAGTTCCTGGGGGCTTCACCATTGAAATAAATAAATAAGTAAATAGTTAAATAAAGATCCCTTAACCCAAAAATAACAAAAGTAGAACTGCTATGGTTATCAGTTGATCCTGAACAGATCCCTTAACCCGAAAGAGAAGAATGGCATTGAATATAGATAGAGCATTAAAGAAGAATGATAGAATGCATATAGAAACAGCATACCTAAATCATCTCTAGTGGGTGCATACCTAAAACATCTCCAGTGGGTGATCATTATGAAAAGAATAGGTATAAAAGTAGAAAATTTGACATGTAAGGATGTTAGATTCAATGTTTACACTAGTATAAATTCCATTCATTGTAAAATAAAAATAAAATGAAAATAAAAAAAAAAAAAATTAAAAAAAAAAAAAATTGTTGCTGTCATTTGTATGTGTTCGATAAATTAAGTTGTATATGGTGTTTTAATATCTAAGCCCCTCTACTTTATTGAGATTGTTTTCCTCCATCATCGCCTGAAAAAAGACTTAACGATCACCACAAGCTAAAATTAGCCATTGCCCATTAAATCTGCATTCTTCCAATTTAGTGCATTCAGATCAGATATGGTTTGGACAATCTTTTAGAGAACTCCAATCTCAAGAGCTATAACATTGGTCAAAAACATACTGATATACACAATTTGTAGAAGGCAGGCAATATCACATTCCATCAATAACGGAATCTTAAACAGGGTAATAATTACCTCCCCAAAAGACAAAACATCACTCTCAAAGAAGTCGCCAAAATCCCCAAACTCTGAGAGAAGTGCTTGAATATCCACACCACACCTGTCATCATCATCCCAACCCCACTGAAGGCCAATCTGATCATTTCCTCCCGTAATGGCTGAATTTCCAACTTCCATGGAAGTGTAATCATTATTGAGTGAATTTGTAACTCCTGCCTGAGAGTAAGACTCTGAAACCCCTGTTATTGGCCGCTTCAAGCCCTGCTAAATAACATAACATAAATTTTGCAAGTTCTAACATTTACAGCACAGTGAACATCAAAGAGGGGGAAAATTAACAAAATTATATAACAGATCATAAATTGCATATTTAGCATTATTTAAGTAGATACAATCAGGATGTATGCTGATTGTAATCACTTTTTTCAAAGATCTTAAGATCACTGTTGTCAAGAGACGAAAAAGCCTAGAATGGCCAAAAAAAAGAGTTTGAACTAAGGAGATACTCCGTTGTTGATTTTATTCATGATAAAAGTTATCTAGTTTTGGTGCAAGAGCACTGGAATTTCAACTGATAATCACAAATTATGACCTGCATTATCTTCTAAGACAAGGAATTTTATATTTTTATTTGTATGTCAATCTTCTTAAGCATTTAACTTTTCAAGGATTTCTTGTCCAGTAGAACTTCACTCCCTATTGGAATTATCAATTAAGATTTTTTTTAGTCCCAAAAGAAATAATAGCAGTAGAGGCTTCATTTTCTGTTCAACAAAATCTAAAACAATTTGTTTTTTTTTCTAACTATAAATAAAAACCTAGAAACCAACAAATTAGTACTCCAGGCCTTTGTTTGTAAACCTATATGAGATACCCTAGTGGAAGCATGACCATGTTGCGGTTTAGTTGGGCTAACTGGTTGAAATGCAGAGTCCGAACCTGATGACTTAAAAATTAGTAAACTCACATCAGAATTACTAAACAAATCCAGTGACAAGGAATATAGAGGCCAAAAACAATTTCAGCCTTTTGTTTTTTGAGGTTCACTACATTAGAGTACAAGATTAGACTTCATTAGAACTTTGCCACCAGCAACCATCCACATGAGTGATGAGTTATATACAAGTTTCTTATGACGAGATGATTTAGTATTCAGATGTCAGTCACATTGCTGAAACCACATTTAACCAAATAACTTAGAAAGTTGAAAAACAATAGAGGAAAACTAGCAGAACTGCTCTAAGGAGAACCTTAGCTGAGTCATACAATAATTCAGTAACCCGAAGGTAAAGGGTGAAGGGGGACCTCAAGAGCTGTACCACCACAAGCATGATAGGGAAGATGAGATCTAGGGTAACCTATTTGAAACAATCTTTACTACAGCAGTTATAAGGTACCCACTAGGACTAGGCTGATACTGAACAAGTCAAATAAGCTGATCAAACTCATGGTAAAATTACAGTTCTAGACATAATAATTGTACAGAACAGCATCATAGAGAAACACTTGAGCAATGCCCAAATAAAAAGAAGCTATCTCTTTATCAGTTAGTGTAACTCCAAAAGGCAAAGACACAAGGTAACATGAAAAACACAAAACATGCATATACTGATATACTTACTGATATATAGTAGAGATAATGAAAATTCAATAATTTTTGCTTCATGGATTTAGGTAATACCGTTTTAAGACTAACATTGTGTGACTGATCTGAAGAAGATAAGCCAGACTGCCTACACATTAAAGAATCAGCATCTGCTTCAAGATCACCTGCCCTGTAATCACTGTCACTTGAAGAGCTGCTAATGCTACTAAGACTACTATTGTTGCTATTGCTGCTACTACGATAACCGTGCTGAGTGCGAACTCCATTTGATTCAATCCAAGATACATCCCTTGAATTACCCTTTGAGTCACTGTTGAAGTTAGAACTGAAAATAAGGCACAAATCGCAAGGACAGAGATCTTATATTATAACTTTAGAATAGATATGACTTCAGTGATCTACCAATGTATGAAGGAGGAAGAAACGGACAATGATGGCCCAATCCAGTTTTGTAGCCAGAATCTGAAAGTTTAGAATGATACTTTTAGTTGCCCACATATACAAAGCAAACTTGAACTGCAGAAATGATATTTTGAAAAGTTATGTAATTAAACAGCCATAATGTCCGTGAGGCCATAAGGCTCCTTTGTTGGAACAGAATCAATGTTAAATAGAATATGTTAAGGGAATTGTCATTAATCAATCAAAATTTATTCGATCTTTATATATATATATATATATATATATATATATATATACACACACACACACACACATACACACACATTGATGATCCCTACTTTTACAGGATGAAAATGATGAGCATATCAAACACATGAATGGAATTAGACATCTGATTTGTTATTCCATTCTGACTTGATTCCTGTGTATGAAACAGAACCTAAGGTAATGGCTTCTAATCCCACCATCCACTAATTATGATATGCAATTTGATTACCATCTAATTAAAGGTGTAAAATTTGAAGCATGAAGAAGAAAAAAAGAAATTTCTTTTTAGTTTGGTTTTCTGGACTTCTTGTCCTTCATTTTTGCAAATCCCTATCTCTTAATTTTGTTTCTCTAATCATAAAGTTGTCATAGCTATGATTTTAAAACATTAAGTGATAAATAAGTGCCAGAAAGCTTATTCGGTATCACATCATCCATAGTGTAGGTCCAATCTCCATTCTCCAAAGTGAGGCTTTAGCAATTATGACTGTGGTAGCATAATACAAATACCTTTTGAGAGATGATTTAGCATAGGCTGTTTGCATGACTGGAACTAGAACAGCCTCACTAGGATAAATGAACATTCTTTCACAAATATCTGGTGCCCTGCTCTGACCAACTTTGGCAACTGCTTGGGATTCTGCCATATTATGACTTGGGAGACTTTTCTGTGAATTTGAATGTGGTCTCAATGCCTTGCCAGTTCCCGTGGCAGGACACCCAATGGTAACTTCAACAAAGCAGTTCTGTCCCCTCAGCTGACAACCAGAGTCTTGAGATACATGGTACGGTAGAGCCACAATCCCATTTGAAGAGGTACACTTGCCAGAACTGCTCAAGCAAGTTTAAAAATAAATAAACAATTATAACAATAATAATAATACTCTGTAGTGGTGGTGGTAACAATAGTAAAAAGAATGATCAGCATAAGCTCCAACATGCAAAAGGATATGTGGATTAACATGCATAGAAGAGAGAAATCAACATATAGCTAAAGTCTCAGATTAGACCTGAGATATACTTGCTTCACAAGGTCACTTGGACAACATCCAGTAAGCCTCCCACGCATTCCATGAGGTGATACAACAACTGTGAAAACAAAGAATGGAAAGGAATTTATCCAAATGCAAGTGAGGGAAAAACAAAAAACAAAAAGCATTTGAGCTTTCCTAATCATAAATATAATGGTCTGGAATCTGGAGTAATGACTAATGAGTGAGAAATTGTAATAGGTCTTTCCCAGTAACAAATATTGGAATAAAGCTCAGTTATTAAGCTTAAATGATTGTAACTTAGAACACTGCTTTATCTTTAGTTGTTATTTTGGACTCAACTATGTGTACCTTTAGTTCCTTTTTTTAAAAAAAAAAAACTGTATAGAGCCTTGTATTCTTTATCTTTGACTCAGTGCTCCCCCATTGGTGCCAATTAGTGCCATCTTTATTTAAAAAATTTAAAAAAAAATTAAAAAATGATTGAAACCTAAGAGCATCTTGTTTGCAAAAGTATGGACTTGACTGTGACAAGATTACAATTCATTTGAAAGAAACAATGGGTTAGAAACTTATCAGCAATTTTTCCTGGTTTTAGGGTAACTCTGAAAGCGAGGTTTGAAATGAAATTAGGAAAGGTTGTTCTTTTTTCTGTTATGTACCATGCATTTGTTAAAGGTTCTCTTTGGGTAACTGAATATTTTGCAACAAAAATTGGTAATGCATCTTTAATATTTTGTCCTTGAATATTAGAGAAAGGGGAAGACCAAAATAAATGAGATTGTGCTTCAGTAATGGAGCCTAGTTTGCTCTTGCATCTTTCTCCTCTATTTTCCCTTAATGCATATAGTCAAGGAGTCTTCATGCTTGTCCCAATAAATGACTTAAAATACTTACAAGCTTGTTATAAACTAAGATTGGGCTCGGGTTACTCAATGGGGCTATAATGCACATGGGCCAAACCACACTAAAAGATTGAATCCAACCAATTAGCTAGTCTAACCCATAGCCTTATAAACCCCATATTTCCTCTCTTATTTTATCAATGTGGGACTCTTAACAAAGCTCAAAAATCATTTCCAATCTCTTCAATGTAACCAATTGAAAGGGGAAATGTGAGGGGAAAAAAATCAGCTTGCAACACTGTAACAGTATCTAATAGCACAAAGGGAAAACCTGGAAGTCTGTTTCCGGAAGAGTGTGATGAACGTTTTGATATTTTCTCAATGTCACCACTTGAAAGTGCTCGTACATGTCTGAACAAAAGAAAAATGGCAACAATAATTAGTTCAGTGAAGCTGATCTATCAAATTCATCATGTGAAAGAAGCTGATTAAACTAACTTTGAAGATATTACAGCATGCACAAACACTGCCTCCTCTGTAGAAGTAAAGAAGAATTCAATCACTGGCTGGCCTCTCCTACAAAAGACATCAATCACAAAGTAACCAGTTGTAGCAGTAAGTTCAAGAGAAGTTGTAGACAAATCCAAGATACAGAAAATCGAGTCTACCATGTTATTGAAAGTTAAAACTGAACATGAAGTTTCCCAACATACCGCAATGAATCTTCATTATGCGAAAATGGATAATATCTGGCAAATACATCTCCATATCTCATGTAGGACAATGCTTTCAGTGCTCTGCCAATTCAAAGCACATTTAGTAAATAAGTGGCAAAACAGTTAAAAAGAACAGGAAGTACAAGACTAAACCTTTCCACACAATTCCTTAAGGCATGAGATAGAGCTGCAGCAACTTCTTCCGAGTCCCCAGGAGCCACCCAGAGTCCAGATGCAAGAACTACAATAAAATTTAAATGAGTTCCAGATTTATATTTAAAAAAAAAAAAAAAAAAGAAAAAAAAAAAGGAATTCTAGCTGATGTACAACCTAAGTGCATTGAACACCAAAAGTGCAAATGTGGAATAGCAAAGTTGCATGCCATCTCATAGAGAACAACTCAATTTCAACACATTCACTTCATTATCAGCTAGTAATGAGTAATGTGAAAAACATACCTCTTAATCTGGAAACGGCAGGCTGAGCCTTCTCAACAACGGTCGAAAAATGCCCAGGCAGAAAAAGCCAAAGCTTGATCTTTTCATCTACCAATTAGCAAACAGACAGACATTAGAGGACAAAAACAAGATGCATCAATCCAACAACTATGCTGATATTATTTACCTGGATTGTGAAGGCCCTGAGACGGATCCCACGGTCCCACAAAAGAATTGGTCCAAGTGCTCAGAAATCCTTCTTTCTGCAACTGTAGATGCGATGAGAGCACAAGCCATGATGCAGCAGCTTTTTGATCAACTTTCACACTACACAAACAATTTTGAGAGCAATATCAAGTACATAGAACTATAACTAAAAACAAACAACCCATTTAGAGAGCCACCAAATAAAAAAAAAAACACACACACAGAGGCAAAAGCAAAGAGATTTTGATGTCAAACTTTTCAAAATATTAACCTCTTATCAGGCAGAGAATTGAGCTCAGATTCATTAGGAAGAAACTGAAACCACGATATGTGATGTAAACCACCCTGCATAGACCATACATCTTAGAGCATATTACAAACTGTTCACAAATATAATAAAAGATAGCATCATGATGTTAACTTTTATAACACTAAAAGAAGATATATCAAGAGAAAATAAACTCTTCAACTCTTTAAGTAAGATATGGAAGTGCAAGAATATTTTAAGCTGCACTAGTACGATGAGAAAAAATATGTGATTCAATGATAAAGGTCATTGGAAACCGTTCAAAATATATCTTCAGAAATCAAGCCCCTTGAAGATAATAGTTCTTAAAAGTTAAAAATAAACAAAGTGTGGTTAAACATCAAAAATTAAAACATGTTCTTTATTCAAGAGTTTAAAATCCAAGTTGTCTATTTAATGCAGTAAAACACGGTGTAGCAATAAAGCAGCAATGATCCATAAGCAGGAGATGTCATATTATATGTTTAAGAGAAAGAGATAGGACTTTGACAAAATAAAAAGGTTAGAATTTTAGCAAATGTTTTAAATGAGTTATGCTTGTTTTATAGATAATCAATAGAACATAAGACGAATGATATGAGTATTCAAAAAAAGCTGCAACTTTTCTTTCAATGCCATTTTTTGTGCTTCTGCATGTGAACTTCAAACAAAATTCAGCAATTATTTTGAAAAAGAGAGAGGAGATTCATAGAAATTTAATAAGGCAAGGAACATACAATCTTGAACACATTTGTCCACATCACTGAACAACTGTCGAATCCCCTTGATGTAGAAATGCATAGACCTTTGGATCTTAGAGTAAAGGACCTATAGCAAAAGCCCAGAGCACGTCTTCACAGGCAACAGGCAAGAGCTTCTTCACTGAGTACATGGCAAGCATACAAAAGAAAAAATATTAATTGTATTTATAAAACATAGTTAAATGGTTTTACTAGAAATATAAAAGACAATAAAATGAAAAAGTATGAATAGTGTTTATGAATAATAGGTAAATGGTTTTATTTAAAATTAAACAGAAGACCTGAACAAAGTACCATTAATCCAAATCGTATGGACAATTATACTAAGAAATGATAGGTGTGCATGTGTGTGTATCTATTATTCTTATTTGATGAGGATCACCATGCTGCAAAACAAAATTACAATCAGTTTTCTATTTCAAGCTGAAGAAAATTACAGCAATTCTTCATTTCTTAGTCAGGTTATTATTGACCACTCAGAAGAATTGTTTATTTTATATTCTAACATCACCAAAGAAAAAAGAAAACAGAGGCACTCCCTCTGTTTGCTGCTTCTGAGTTGAATTCTATGCCTACCCTTTTAACATCAACAAGAATCATAATAAAAACCACTTACCCCAAGCCCTAGGATTGTTGGGGGCAAAAGGGCTGAGTAGGAAGGAAAATTAGATTAAAACAAGATCCATACGATTTGAACTCTTCCGCAGAAATTTCTGATGTGTCCTAGATTTGGCATATAGAATTATCTACATTTATTGAGGCAACTACTTTTATTGGCTCCTTCTTTACCCTTTTCGGTCATCACGAGGTTCTTACAATGGGAATATACACAGCTTAGAGAATGAAGTGGGGTCACAAAATGCAAAGCTCCCAATTTGATAGTTCCGGTGAGGCTGGGGTGATGGAATGACATCCTATATTTCAACTTATACAGTCCTACAGGAAAAGTTCTGGAGAATGACTCTCCGAATTGATATAATCTAGAGTGCAAGGACACCAAATCAAATAACGATTTTCCACATGCTGACGTGCCATGCTTTCGCATTTATTTCTCAATTAATATCCAGAAAAGCCTCGTCACAAAAATTCACCAGCACAGAACTAAGTCAACTCCAACGTTGTAAAAATCACTAGGCGCTAACATCGGACGTTTGATGGGCAAGTATTCCTCCCATAAAATACAAATGTTCAATAGCACATATACTTTAAAAACACATAATACTCCAATCGTAATGCATGGAATCCATCAAAGTAGCAAATATACACACACATAGCACTTGTTCCTGTTAGGGTGCAAGTGGGTAATTGAAGTGAATGCAGCTAGAGTTTGGAATGCACAACACAATTCAAGCACTCGGGATATGATGATGCACACAAATCTCCAGAATTTTCTCTGCTCATTCAGTTACTCTAATCCAACCCTAAAATTTCAAATCTCCATCAACCATTTCAACCGGCACTAGGTAATGACGAACTTTTGAAAACGAAAAACAAAATCAATTCCAGAAGACACTCCAAAATCATACCAACAAGTTGAGAATCAACAGGAATTTAGTCAACTCTGTCAAAAATGAAAAACCCAAAAAAAAAAAATTGATGTACAAATGCATGAAAGTACGAGTAAGAGATTTGATACCTCGTACAGATACAGTGCAGAGTTTCTTCTCTAGGTCTAGGATCTTCAGGCAATTCAGTTCATCATCCACGGCACCTTAATTAGAGCATGTCTGACGGAGCTATAGAACAAGCAACGTTGTACGGTGCTACCTGCGTGAAAGAATTAGGGTATTTGTTTTTCTTTTTTTTTTTTCCCTCTATCTTTTGCTTTTTCAATTTTTTATTATTACAGTTATGTAGCATTGTAGCCCTCCTTTATTTTTTTACAAGTTTTTTTCTAATGTGGCATTATCTTATTGAAAAAAATTATTCATTTGTCAAATTAATTATTTCTTTTTATTACTCCGTATTTTCTTTACTATTTCTAAATTTTATTTTGTTTATTTAATAATTAGTTTTTAAATATATACATTGTATATAATCATACAAACTTAATATTATGAAAATTTGAATTAAAAATAATTTTAGTAAAGTTTCGTTAATCGAATTATACAAATAAAATGGGACGGAGGGAGATATTGTATTCTTTTTTTCTTTTATATGCTAACCAGATGCATTGTTAAATATAGGCTCTGTTTGGCAACGTTAAGATAGGAGCTTATAGCTTATTTTAAGCTATTAATAAGCTATAAGCTCTGTTTGGTAATGTTCCCAAAATAAGCTCCTAGCTTAAAATAAGAGTTTATTTTGGAACGCTACTTTAAGTTGCGTTTCAAAATAAGCTACTAGCTTCCTAATTTTTTTCCATCTTTACCCTTATTATTTTAAAGTAATGACATATTTTAACCTTATGAATTAAAAACCTTTCTCTTCCCCTTATCCCATCAACGAAAATTTAAGTCAGACCTTTATGGAGATGAAGGAGATTCGCAACAATATTGCTACTTCATTATGGGATGCTAGATCATGATCATGCTAATAGTTTTATTTTAAAAAATGTTTATTTTTTTGGAAGACGAAATGTTAAATTTTAATATGTAAACAAACTAATTTAAATTTTATGAAGATGTCATTTTTAGTCTTTTTACATTTATCAGCTTATCAAAAAGCTAATTTTACCAAACACTTTCAATCATAACAGCTCTTCAATTTTCAGCTCCGAGCTTATAGCTTTTCAGCTTTCAGCTCCTTTTCAGCTATCAGCTCCTAGCTTATAGTTTTTCAGCTAGGTTTGCCAAACAGAGCCATAGTTCGAAATATAATTTTATCTCGAAATAAGTGACCAAGTTAATAAAATATGATTTTGTATATGAAATATCACGAATTCAATTATTGTCAAAATTCTCTCAATCGATAATGTCATACAAACATTGCTATTGTGATTTATCTCAATTTTAATTTTCCTCGTCATTCAAAGATGTAGTATAGCTTGTATAGTGGGCTTATTTTTTATATATATTTAAAAGTTCTTTTCTATCTTACATTTCCCCTTTATGCATAATGTATTTATTTTTTATCTCTTTATACTTTTACAACTTTTTTACCATAATACTTATGACCATTTCACATGAGACAATGAAATACTCCGTATTTAGTTAAATTGCACTATTTTTGTATGAATTTATAAAAAATATTATATTTTTAACTATAATATATTACACATCTCACATAAAATGGACTCACTAAAAATATATTCATAGTCTCAATTTTATTATATAATTTCAATTTCAATACCCTCATTTGTTAATTGGATATGTTTCATCGTGCATGCTTGTAACTAGTTTGTATGACAAGTATACTCTAATTACCTACACAATATTTCATTTAGGAAAATAATATGTATACTTAGAAGATAACAAACAAGTAACATTGGGGGCATTTAGTTTAGGTTATATAAGATAACCAATGTTATATTTGCTTGGTAATATAAGATTCTCATATTTGATTCAAGTTATGTAACTTTTTCAAGGAAATGTCAGATAACCTCCACATTAAGTTTTTAACTATTAGAAGAGAATATAAAAAGATATGGTCCAACAATACGTGTCGAAAACTTTATTGCATGAAAATCCACACACACACACACACATATATATATATATATATATATATATATATATATATAAAATACACAGGCACAACTTTTTTTGTGTCTTCTGCCTAGGCGCTAGGCGGTTTTGGCACCCGACTAGCATCTAGCGTATTGCACAACCTTGAAAAAAACACATAAAAAAGGATACAAAGAGCAAATAAAAGCACAAGTTGCTTATTGATGCAGAGAAAACAGTGAGCCTACAACCACACTTTAGAATAGTAGTACATCAATTATTTTCCTAAAAAAATTCTCTGGAAAATTTCAGCAAGTAATCCTTGGGAAAATGCAAAAAATTCCACCTCCCTACCCCTAAAAGTTCATAAAATCAATCTAGAAAAATGATCCAGTTCAAGAATCTTGAAGCAGTCCCTTTGCTGTAATAGTGTAAAATTACCCAAAAAAAAAAAAAAACTAACATGTCGCGGCCAATGTTATTATCACGGCATGGCTCGACTCGGGTGATCTTTCTTTGCCACGGGGGATCTACAACCCGAGGTTCTTCTGGGCCTTCTGGATTTGGTTGAGGAATATCCATGTCAACTGCAAAAGCAAAAAAAACGCGATGCTTAGAGAGAGGGGAATGTGAAAAGCGGGATAGCTAGTTCGAGGGGAAGAGTAGAATACCATGACATGAGGAGCAATTCTAACACAGTATACGGGGAATCCAGTGTAAAACTTAAAAGGCCCTCCCGCCTTGAGGGTTTGCATAGCACAGTCAACGGAACCGGTGTAGGGATATTTCCCAGCGGCATCTGGTTGCATCTTCTGGATTTGTGTCTTCACGTAGTCAAACGGTAAGCTGCAAGCAGCAGCGAAGAATCCGGATACTGCACTAGCCCCTGGAAAGAAAAACGGGAATCTTATTACTGAAGCTAAAACAAAACGTTCTTATTGGCTGCTCTGATACCATGTTATGTTAAAATGAAAGGATCACTCAAGTGGACTATAATGCACACAGCCAAACCACAGTAAAAGACGGAATCCAATCAATTCGCTAGTCTAACCCATGTCCTTATAAACTCATATGTTTCTTCTCTTTTTTTTCAATGTGGGACTCCTTAACAAATTTAAACATGTAAAGCATATCTAAGGTAAATAGGTAAACAAAAACCAAACATTGATACATGACATTTACTTTATAACGATACAAGTATCACAACTTTGACATCTAAATGGTAGTCCCTCTGTCCCATTTTTTCTGTCATGTTTATTATTCATTGGTCAAACCACCTCTTTCTTCATTGCTTATTTTCTTTAGTAATTTTTAATTATTTTTAAATTTGATTTTTTGTACTTAATAGTACTTTTAATGTAGTTTCTAAATATATAAATTTTATATACTAATACTAAACTTAACATTATGAAAAATTGAATTAAAAATAACTCCCGTCAAGCCTCGTTAACCGAATCAGACAAACAAAATGGGATTGAGGGAGTATATTATATCTTATAGACGGGAGAAGCTATCTTACCTACAACTGTGGCAGTCTCTCCCATGCCAAGAGAATCCCGACAAAACTCAACACTTTGGTCATAAGAGGCGAGCATTCCCATGTTAAGCGCCATTGCCCTCACTACAGTCGGGCCAGCGCCCTTCCAAAGGGCTAAAACTCCTTCATCAGCAACAATGCGGGACAGCGCATGGAAGGCATTTGTGTAGTTACGTCGCTGGGCGGCGGGTAAGGTGGCATCCGCCTGCATACGGATGAGTGCCAAATCAGCGGGACTGCCCACACAGGCTCCAATCGCCCCCGCAGTCAGCCCACACAGCGCCTTCTGATATAGAGGCAATGGCTTCCCGTCATTGGCTTCAATAGCCTTGGTCGTCAAAATTCTATCATAAAAAGCCACCAAATAAGCAAACAAAAAGGGGGAAAAAATCAATCAATCGATCTCCTATCAGATGGAAAACTGGAAGAATAACAGCAAATCTATTGCCATGATTTGATAATCACAAAATCAGATTTTCATATTTACAGACACAAGACAGATGAAGGGGGTAGAAAGCTAAAGAGGCAAACAATCAAAGCAAGACTCATTGTTGGGCATATAGCTATTAATGTGCAATCCAACTATCGACTTAGGCTTTTAGTTGAGATGGAACACATGCTTCAATTTGGTATCAGAGCCAGACAAAAAGTCGTGGGCATATAGCCATTAATGTGCAATCCAACCATCAGCTTAGGTTTTTAGTTGAGATGGAGCACATGCTTCAATTATCGGGAGTTTTGGAAGATCTTAGTAATATAGGTTCCCTGTTATTACGATTCTTGATCATGAAATTCAAATTCTAATTAACAAAAAATTTCACCTGAATGATCCAAGACGGGCAGTTGTATAAGTAGCCTGTCTAAGAAGCCCAGCAGACAAACCCTGTTGAACAGGACATTGACAATTGATGTTAAACATAAGCAACACAAATATCGGACACAAACACGGTGAGAAACGAGGCAATCAGACACATAAACTGTGGCATTATACTAATCAAATCACTTGAACATGCATAATCAATCTAAAAGTTATCTAGTATAAACATCTAATGATCTAATGACATTCTCCATTCTCCAGCATGCTTATGTTACCTTAATTCTGACTAATGATTCTTAGAACATCCTTAGATCTAAGGAACACTGAGCATATTCTTGTAAAAGGCACCATAGATACAAACCTTGTAAAAGGCACCAAAGCCCTCATTTTTAAGCATATTCTTGGTGACCTCGCCAGCTGATCCCTGGCCCAATTGGATTCTCACCTACCAATCAAAAACAAGAAAAAGAAAAACGAACATTCAGTCTTTCAAAAAGGCATCATTTTTACACAGTAGCTAATGCAATCAACACAAAAATACTAACAAGTAAAACCCAACAGTTCCATGACAAGATCTAAGCTTTATGAACTTCCAATGCTAGAAATGCCCAGAAGATGCCTGCCCTAAAATTTCTACATGATTTGATCCAAAAATATCTAAAACCCAAAACTCCAAAATGTTTTTTTTTTTTTAAGGATGATCTGAGATCTGATCATCTGAAGAGTCTTCCAATGAAACATTTCTCAAACAAATCAAGATAACTTTTTTTTTGGGGGGATCATAACTGTAACAGCAAAGCGATCCGTGAAGTGCAATAAATACCTTGACCATGTCGATGGGTTGAATGACGCAGGTGGCGAGCATGCCGGAGCAACCGCCATTAACAAAGGGCTTCACGGTGGGCCAGACGGCGGCGACGGGCTTGGGCTTCTCCTCTCCCATTCTTCCTGAGATTCCAAGAAACAGCTGAGAATGCGAGAAGAGAGAGAAAGAGAAAGCTCGAGGGAAACAAAGCAAAAAGGGAGAATCTATATATACACGCAGTGATCAGTGGTTACAGGGTGGCCGAGACGGTGATGGCGTCCCAAGGTGGTAGGTGTTAAGGCGTGCGGACAGCACTAAAATCCTCTTTTGGCCCCTTGATTTGCACGTATTTACAACCCTACCACTTTTGGTCGGAGAGATTAGAGCGGTTAGAAGTTAGAACGATGAATAACTTGAAAGAAAAAGTGATTAGAGAAATTGTAAAATATCAGTTGAGAGCAATTTAACTGCTTCGATCTTATCGGTTTAATGTCGTTATTCTAACTATTTCATCCTCATTTTGCTCTCAAACAGAAATTGTCAAGTTTGCAACGTTTCATATAATATAAATCATTCAAGACAATTTATTAGTTGAAATTATAGCTGGCTTAATATTTGTCCTTCTTTTTCTTCTTGAGAATTTTGATTTAATATGGCTATAATGTTTTAATTTCATCATACACCATTACACCTTATTTATATCAGAAAAAAAAAAGAAAAGATGAAATTTCAAATCTAGATCTAACGCAAGTCTTAGTAACTTATGTTGAATATGATCTAAAGACATTGTAAGTTAGTATTGAATACTAAATGAAGTATTTTGGATTAGTTCTCAAATAGTGACTTACGACTTACAAGAATCAATTTGATAAATGTTATTAGCCTAGCACCAAGGGCATGGCCCTAGTGAGGAGTACATGCTAAATACGTTGCAAAAAAAAAAAAAAATACTGATCAATTATCTATTAAGCATAGTTCAATCATCAAAATAAACATATCATTAACAGTATAAGAAATAAATCACTGATTGATTCTATCATCGTAACTTTATTATAACTAAATCTTATCATTTATTGTCTTGTTTGATTTAAATTATATATATTTTCCGACCAAAATCCTACACCATTACTTGTGTAGATGCATTCTCAAATCTTGAACCAAAGAATTTGCTAGCGGCATTCCATCATTTTCTCAAGCATGCTTGTCATGACTCCTTTGAGGATTGGTTGAGCACAAAGGGGCAAACCGGTAATTTCACCTTATTCAACAGTCAATCTTGGCGTGACACCATAATTTTTAATCCCTCCAAGGCTGTAACTTTGGCGGCTGATTCACGAGATATTTCGTTGTAAATTTAATTGAATTTTTTAATCACGAGAGAAATATGTAATAATTATTTTTAAATAAATTATATTTATGTGTAATAATTCGTAACTTATACAAAAAAAAAAAAAAAAAAAAAAAAAAAAAAAAATATATATATATATATATATATATATATATATATATATATATATATATTAAACAAATTATATGCAATAAATTTGATTAAAAAGATGCTAATAATTAGAGGTGTTATCGAACAGAGCTTTCGCCAAACTACACGTGTTTGTGTTCGTTAAGCGTTCGTTTATGTTCGTCTGTTAAGGTAAACGAACATTAACAAACAAAATTTAGAGCTCGGTTAATAAACGAACAGAGCTTGAACAGTTGTAAGCTCGTTTGCTAAGAGATCGTGAACAAGCTCGATTGTGTTCGTTTACTAATATTCGTGAACAAACTCGTTTGTGTTTGTTTAATAATGTTCGTGAACATGTTCACAAACATATATATTATATTATATTATATTATATTAGTTTTGTAGTTGTGTTGTTTGTTTGACTATTGTTCGTGAACGTATATTATTTATTATTCACGAGCGAATTGTGATCATGAACATATGCAGGTATTTGTTTATTAAGTGTCCATGAACGTCAATGAATATGTTCGTGAACGTGATTGTTAATGAACATGTTTGTGAACGTGTTTGTTAACGTTAACGTACGTGTTCACAAACATTAACAAACACGTTCGCGAACGTTAACGAACACGAACAGGATTTTCAAAAACCTTAACAAACGAACACGAACACTCCAAATTCCTTAACAAACGAACACGAACAACCTCCGTTCGTTTATGTTCGGTTCGTTAACAGTCCTACTAATAATCAATCACTTTGTGTTTTATTAGCATGAAGTGATTCTCTTAAATGTAGTGTTGAAAAAAACGCTAGACGCCTCTTAGGCGCCCGATTTTTTTAAATTTTTTTTAGGGGTTATTTACAAAAAAAAAAAAAAAAAAAAAAAAAAAAAAGTTCGGCCGCCTTGACCGCCTAGGCGCCCGGCCGGGGAGAAGGCCGATTTCGGTGTTTCTCGACGCGATCGGGCGTCGCCTAGCACTTATGTGCGATTTTTGCAACCCATGCCTAAATGAGAGGTCATAAATACGAGCAGTAGAGGTGATATTGACTCTTTGTACTCATATCGATTCATCCACCCATTTTCGATGTAAAATTAATCGACTTTTAGGGGCATCAAAGGTAGTTCATGCAATTATAACATTAAAATAGTTAAATTGTTCAATGCGTGCGCCTTACGAGAATCGCAGCTTACTAACCCATGAAACAATCGAATACGGCATGCTCATTTCCGGAAATACCCTTACAGTTGTTATCAATCAACATCCATAACCGTTTTTTGTTATTGTCGTCATGATTATGTTCACCGAATTATTTATAAATTTAAAAAATAGATTTATGAATTTAAGAGCATCCACATTTGTTGGGGAGAATAGGGGGATAATGTAAGAGTGATTAGGAAAGAGAAGATGGGAGGGGAGAGAAAAAAAAAAGAAAATTAAATTAAAAAAAAAAAAAAACATTCAAACTGTCAGGCGCGCCTGACGGGCGCGCGCACTGGTGACGGTGGGTCCCACCATTTCTGCATTATCTCTTCATTTGCAGACCAATTATTTCTCACATTATCTCTTCCCCACATTAATTATTATCTTGGGTAGAGAGAATTCATTCTGAAATATCTCCCTATTATCCACAAATGTGGATGCTCTAAGAGATATAAAATGTAAACAGACTAAGAGCATCCACATTGGTTGGGGAGAATGAGGGTATAATGTAAGAGTGATTAGGAAAGAGAGTGTGGGAGGAGAGAGAAAAAAAAAAAGAAAAAACAAAACAAAAAAAAAATTAAAAAAAAAAATAATAATAATAATCAGACGCGTCAGGCGCGCCGACTGACGCGCCTTCGGGCGCGTGCGCTGCACGCGCCCGGCTTTTGCCCAAGGCTGTGCGCGAACGCGCACAGCCTTCCTTCTTTTTTTTTTTTTTTTTTTTTTTTTTTTTTTCTGACAATATCCTCACATTTGCAGGACAATTATTTTTCAATTATCTCCCCTCCACACTAGCTATTATCTCATGTAGGGAAAAATTAATGCTGAAACCTCCCCACAATATGCACAAGTGTGGATACTCTAAATAAATAAAAAATAGCGGCTGGTTAAAGTTGATTGTGATGAGTCAAGAGGGGTAGTGGAGGCCCAAAGTGGCAAATTCCAAAGTCTAGTGGAGGCTATGACTAAACTTTATTTTTATTTTTATTTTTTATTTTTAAATTAATTGTAGGGGCACAATTAAATGTAATAATAAAGTATGGTCCATGGGGAGAATCCAATAGCTGAATTTGTTTGATTTCAAAGCTATAAAATATGGTTTTAATTTTAACATTAAAATATATAAACACATGGTTTTTTAGTACATATAAATGAAAAATATATAAACATCTGTTTTAAAGTCAATTACCTTGTAATTTGATGTCATCATTTGTTATCATTCTAAACGAATAGTTATAGGTTCGAGTCTTATTCTAATCAAGGATTGATATATATGATTTATGCACTTTTAAGTAGCTGTTACAGATTTTCAAAAAAAAAAAAAAAAAAGTAGCTGTTACAGACTTTTTTCGTAATTAAATTTTTTTTTTTAAAAAAAATTGATGCGGCTTTCACCTAAAAAAAAAAAAGAAAAAAAAAAAGCGTGTTGTCACATCATGAAATAAATAGAGTTGTTAATGGTTGTGATTTCATTTTGGTTTGTAAAACACTATGAGGTCCACATGCAACAAACTTTCCACAGAACAATTAATCCTTAGTAATGAACTAAGAATGTAAAAAAATATTATTTAATTGTTACCATCACAATGTCACATCATTCGTTGATTTTTTTTTTAAATTAAATTTGGAATTTTTTTTGATGATGAGGCATTATAAAGACTTGCACTCATTATTTGATGGTGTGCACTGAGTAAACTGTATTTCTATATAATAGTCTGTAAATTACACATAAAAAGTAAGTTGCACTAAAAAGACCCCGTGTGACAGAAATTCAGAAAGTGTTGACAAATTTGATTTACATACTTGTGAAGTTTTGAACCCACAAGTACTAAGATTAAATGAATAGTGCTGGGTTTCTTAAAATAATTATACAATTATACATTTAAACAAACAATAATAATAACTTGGACTATGTGGCCTAATGGTACTCGGATTGAATTTTTATTTGGAAGGTTGTGAGTTTGAGCTTCAGTAAAGGCGGTATTTGCTCTTTGTGTTTCAGTAAGTTGAGAAAATAATAATATAAAAGAAAAATCAATTTTTCCAGTTGTAATGTTACAAGGTCGAGTTCTTTGAGAATTTTCTTAAATGATGGAGGAGGACATACCTAGTCTCTTTTCCTTTATTAGTTTCAAGGCCTTTTAAATAGTGTTTGTCTTGTAAATGATTAATTAAACGAAACAATCTAATTGGAAGAATCGCCTTGTTGTTGAAGCGTTTTATCCTTTCTCCTTTCATTACTATTATCGCAGACTAAGTTGTTACGCACAACACATAATCTTAACATATTAGATCAGTTATCCTTTAATAAAAACGAAACCCTATAAAAATTTTATTCTCTAAATATAAACATTAAAAACAATCATCTCAAATGGACCATCAAAGCATGTTCCCAACAACCTACTTGTATCTTGTACACAAACTATATTCATGCCAATATGACATAGCTATTGTGACAAGGCAAGCATTGTACATTCCCATACCTAACATGACAAAAATATTATAATTGACCCGAAAAAAATAGTCAAGTAGGTGAAACATAATTTTCATACTAAAAAATCATGAATTCATTTATTACACAATCTTCCCA